CAGAGCCGGAGCCAAGGCTGAAGGTGTAACCCTGTGACGACCGCTGCGTAGCCTGGTCGTCAGCCCAAGAAGCGTCCGCGTGACCTGTAAGTACCACTGGACTCCGCCCTCCAAGCACTAGCCCCATGCCCGACGTACTGCACAGGTAGCGCAATACCCTCTTCGCTGCAGCCATGTGCTCTGGTCGGTGTCTCCCAGGAGCAACATAGCGTGCAAGAATGCTAAGAGGGTATGCAAGGTCAGGTCGTGTGCAGGTCATCAGGTACATGAGGCAGCCAACAAGCTCTGGGTACGGGCCACTCGACTCTACGGACTCATCCGAAGGCAGAGCTGAGAGCGAGTGGCGAGTAGACAGAGGAGTGGCCTGAGGCGAGGAGTACGTGAAGCCGAAGCGCTGAAGGACCTGCTGCACCATGTATGACCGAGTCAAGGTAATGGTGCGGCGTGCTCTGTCCCGAGTGATCTGCAAGCCAAGGTAGCTGCGCAGTTCAACCAGGTCTGTGCACGTGTGTCTCTTTAGCAGCTCAGACTTCACGTAGGCGAGTCCAGCAGTGTCCGCTGTGGCAAAGACATAGTCGTCGACGTACACGAGGATGTAGAACGGCGGCAGTGAAGTGTCGATGCGCAGAAACAGCGACGGGTCAGCAGTAGAAGGAGCAAACCCAAGGGCCGCAAGTGTAGTCCTCAGTGTGTCGTGCCACTCACGTGGTGCCTGGCGGAGACCGTAGACTGGCCGTCGGAGGCTCCACTGGGTGCCAGGAGGGAAAGTCCCAGTGAAGCCAGGTGGACGGCGCAGCCAGATCTCCTCGTGCAGGCTCCCCTGCAAGAACGCAGTACTGAAGTCGAGAGAGTGAAGCTCGTAGTCGCGCTGAGCGGCTATGTGCAGCAGCACCCGAAGAGTGGTCATCTTCGGGGTGGGAGAGAAGGTCTGAAAGTAGTCAACTCCCTGCCGCTGACTGAAGCCACGAGCGACGTACCGCGCCTTGAAGACAGGTGGAGAACCCGGCGGCCGCTTCACCCTGAAGATCCACATGCCACTGACGATGTTCGCCCCAGGAGGGGGAACCGCGTCAACGTAGGTGCCTGTGGACTTCCAGGAAGCCATCTCTGCATCCATAGCTGCCTGCCACTGAGAGGAGTAGGGACCCTCTACGGCCTCCGCGTAAGAGCGCGGAGTCGGGATGTCTAGTGCATCCGGGTCTCCCTCAGGAGCAAGCAGTACAGACGCGAGATGAGGTGAAGCAGCAGCCAGACACTGGAACTCCTCCTGCCTGTCCTCTAGGACGTCCGTGCCAAGAGCACACTCACCCCCGACGGACGGAGGACAGACAGACGCAGACTCAGCAACAAGACTAGCAGCGTAGTCTAGACGGCAGCGAGCAGCAAAGTCGACGAGCTCAGCGAGAAGAGCAGACGCAGCAGCGGACTCAAAAGAGGGGTCAGTGACGACAGTAACAAGCAGACGCGTGACAGTAGGACTGGCAGCACGAAGGGAGTCCGACTCTGGGTCGGTAAGCACAGGAAGGGAGGACTCTGGAGGAGAAGGCAAAAGGGCACGCAGAGGAGCAGTGGACGGACGCAGAGACATCCGGTGTGTGCCAGGGACAGGAGGAGGACGCGGACGCGAACCACGACCACTAGCGCGGGCAGCACGAACAGGCGACGCGGGACGAGACGCAGGCTCACGACGCTCAGCAAGACCTCCAGTAGGACCAGTGTAAGGAGAGGGAGCAGGCAGTGGGGAGGTAGGCTCCAACAGTGACTGCGACTGGACAGGCTGTGGACACTCTACCGGAGGAGAAAGACCAAGAACCTGCTGCAGAGCGGAACGAAGTACGGCCGAGGCCGCGCGGCAGCTCCAGACTCAGCAGGGACACCACCAGCACCCTCAGTGGCAGCACCAGCGCCACCAACACCTCCAGCAGCAGGACCTCCAGCAGCACCAGCAGCAGAACCACCGGCAGGACAGACAGCAGCAGACTCAGCACCAACGCCCTCAGCAGCCCCAGCTCCAGTAGGACCCGCAGGCGTAGCACCTCCGGGACCGGCGGCACCAGTACCCTCGACGGTCGAAGAAGCTCCAGCTCCAGTAGTACGCCTCCAACGGCGAGCAAACCACTCGCGCAGCTCCTGCAGAGAGAGGGGCTCCCGCCGAGGCGCAGCACCAGGAGAAACCCCAGGCTCAGCGGCTCCAGACGTAGCACCCCCAGGCTCAGCAGCTCCAGACTGAGCACCCCCAGGCTCAGCAGCTCTAGACTCAGCACCCCCAGGCTCAGCGGCTCCAGACTCAGCACCCCCAGGCTCAGCAGCTCTAGCTCTAGTAGGACCCGCAGGCCCAGCAGCTCCGGGACCGGCAGCACCAGCACCCTCAGCAGTCGAAGGAGCTCCAGCTCCAGTAGCACGCCTCCAGCGGCGAGCAAACCACTCGCGCAGCTCCTGTGGAGAGAGCGGCTCCCGCCGAGACGGAGCAACCGGAGAGCCCCTAGGTCCAGCAGTCGCAGGCTCCGCACCTCCAGGCTCAGCACCCCCAGGCTCAGCAGCTCCTGACGTAGCACCTCCCGGCTCAGCACCCCCAGCAGCAGCACCCCCAAGCTCAGCATCCCCAGGCGTAGCACCCCCAGACTCTTCACCCGCAGCAGGACCAGACTCAGCAGCAACCTCGACTGGCTCGACTGTGTCTACCTGGGACACACCTGAAGGGGCAGGAACCTGAGGGGGGAGGGGGTCTACCGGGGGGGGGAACCGGCACCAGGAAGTCCGGTGGGGGGGGGAGGGAAGGAGTACAGTAGGGGAAGAGGCGGTAGAAGGGGACTGACTCGTCGAACGTGACGTCCTGGGAGAACAGAACACGACGAGAGGAGGGGTGGTAGAACTGCCACCCTGGAGCGTCAGGGGGGAAGCCAAGGAAGACACAGGGAGCAGCACGGGGGGATAGCTTGTCCGCAGACAAGTCGCGGACAAACGCCCGAGATCCCCAGACACGGAACGCAGACGCATCGCCGACCTTCCCCGTCCACAGTAATACTGGGGACATATCGGGCCGAGAGACCCTTGGGTGAAGGTTGAGCTGATGCGCCGCGTACCGAACCGCAAACGGCCACAGAAAATGGGGGGCAGCCGCATGCATCATGGACGTACGAGCGACATCCATGACCATGCCAATGCGGCGCTCAGCAATCCCATTTTGCTGTGGAGAGTCCGGAAGCGTAAAGGTCTGGCGGATCCCCGGTGCACGACACTAGTCTCGCAGAAGGCGAGAGGAGAACTCCCCACCTCGGTCAGAGTGCAGACGCAGAACAGGAAAGTCCGAGCTGAAGCTCCTCCTGAGCTGGAGACGAGCCTCGCGGATCCAGTCGATCAGCACCTCAGTGACAGCACCCTTGCTGCGCAAGGGGTAGACTGTGGTGTAACGCGAGTAGTCGTCAACCACCAACAGGAAGTAGCGCTTGTGACCCTGCCCACGGACGGGGGCCGGGCCCCACACGTCCATGTGAAGTGTCTGCAGAGGAGCCTCTGTCGGGGGAAACTGGGAGGAGTGAGGAGCAGCCCTGAGGCGCCCCTCGCCACAGGGGACACAGGAAGGTCCTGGTCCCGAAGGAAGGGGAGGGAGAGACTGGGGAAGACCAGAGACAAGGACACGGGAAGCCATGCCCCGAAGACGGGGCAAGGAGGGGTGGCCAAGACGGTGGTGCCACAGGAGAGTCTCGTGAGACAAGAGGCGACACGAGCAGGGGGCAGATTCAGGACCAGACCTGGACGCAGCAGCAAACACCTGACCTGACGCTGCTACCTGACCGGACGCAGGAACAGGAGTAGACTCAGTGGTCAGGGTGTAGAGGCTCGACCCCGGCCGATGCGAGAACGTGGCCAGGTGCCGGCCTGTGCGTGCGTCCGTGCAGTGGGTCACCCGCTGACTCGCAGGAGTGAACTGGTGAGCCCCCGCATCCTGCAGGTCTGCACCACTCACTAAGTTCGTCAAGAACGAGGGGAGGTACAGGCCAGACAGGGTGCCCGAGGGGGCAGCCGGACACGGGAGGACAGTGGAAAAGTGAGCGAGGACAGGACCCCCAGAGGGGTCAGCCAGGGAGACTGCAACAGGCCGACCAAGCGGCGTGAGTGTGGTGCGGTCCCGAAAGAAGGAGCGAGAAGCCCCAGAGTCAAGTGTAAAGGTGAGGGAGGCCGAAGCCAACGTGGTACCTGAGAGCGCAGCCTCACCCGCACCTGAGGAAGCAGACTCACTAGCACCTAGAGCAGCAGCCGCACCTGTGCCTGGAGCAGGAGACTCACTAGCACCCAGAGCAGCAGCAGCCTCACCAGTAGCTAGAGCAGCAGGTCCTATAGCCGGGTCAGGCGGTACGCACAGGTGACCGGCACGGTCAGCACTAGTAGGCAATGCATACATGGCAGTGAGAATAGCATCATAGTCAAGAGCAAATATATCTACCCTCTGCCTAAGCAACTCCACCCAGTCGGGGAGCTCAGCCTCGTCGCCAAACACAGTACGCCAGGCGTCGCTCAGACGGGCGAAGCAGCGTGACTGTGTATGACTAGGTGTCCCACAAGGCTGACCAGTCCGAGCACCAGTGAGAATCACGTAAGAGCAGCGAACAGAACTGAGAGACCCTCCACTCTGAGCGTACCACTCACGAAGCTGCTGAGGCGTGAGAGACGCGCGGGGGGGTCGCGGGAGCTGCATCTGGCCGCCACCAGTAGTAGAAGCAGCAGGAGTGGTAGCAGTAGTAGCGCCACCACCCCTACAGCCCCAACCAGCGTACCACTCACGCAGCTGCTGGGGCGTGAGGGACTCACGCAGACGTCGATGGGGCTGCATCTTGCTCCACCAGTAGAGGCAGGAGCAGGAGTAGCAGCAGTAAGGCAGGCAGCCAGGCAAGCCAAAAAAGGGAGGCAGGCAGGCAAGCAGGCGACGCGCAGCGTGCTAGCAGGGCAGGGGCTCACCAGTGGTGGGTAGAGTAGGCTCGGCGACTCAGAGGCTCGGCAGCATGGCGGCTCTGCGGCTCGGGCGACTCGGGTGGCTTGGCGGCAGGGCGGCTCGGCAGCAACTGCAGCTCGGCAGCTCGGCGACCCGGCGGCGCGGCTGTAGGGCGGCTCGGCTGCTGGGAGGCTCGGGTGTAGAGCGGCTCGGCTGCAGGGCGGCTCGGCTGCTGGGAGGCTCGGGTGTAAAGCGGCTCGGCGGCGAGGCGGCTCGGCTGCAGGGCGGCTCGAGACGAAGAAGGAGGAGAAGTAGGGGAGACCACACACCTGCCACCCCTCAGCTGGCCTCTCAGGTCGCCTCGACGTGCGACGGGAAAAGGGGGGGGGGGGGGGGGGAGGGGGGGGGGAGCGGCTCGGGCGGTTCGGGCGGCTCAGGCGGCTCGGGCAGCTCGGGCAGTCAGCGGCACAGGCGGCTCGGGCGGCTCGGCTCCTCAGCTGCGCAGACGGCTCGGGCGGCTCAGGCTGCACGGCGGCTAACGGGCGACGTGGGGGGCCAGGACGGCGGCGTGCAGCAGGGACGGGCGGCGCACGGGCGGTGTGAGGCTGGGACGGGCGCGCGCGGGCGGCTAGGGGCCGAGATGGGCACGCGCGGGTGGCTAGGGGCCGGGACGGGCGGTGCGCGGGCGGCTAGGGGCCTGAACGGGCGGCGCGCGAGCGGCTAGGGGCCGGGACGGGCGGCGCGCGGGCGGCTAGGGGCCTGAACGGGCGGCGCGCGAGCGGCTAGGGGCCGGGACAGGCGGCGCGCGGGCGGCTAGGGGCCTGGACGGGCGGCGCGCGGGCGGCTAGGGGCCTGAACAGGCGGCGCGCGAGTGGCTAGGGGCCGGGACGGGCGGCGCGCGGGCGGCTAGGGGCCTGGACGGGCGGCGCGCGGGCGGCTAGGGGCCTGAACAGGCGGCGCGCGAGCGGCTAAGGGCCGGGACGGGCGGCGCGCGGGCGGCTAAGGGCCGGGACTAGCGGCGCGCGGGCGGCTAGGGGCCTGAACGGGCGGCGCGCGGGCGGCTAGGGGCCTGCAGGGCAGGCCGAAAGAGTGAGAGCGAGGGCCCGGAGCGCGCTCCGGGCAGATTTTTTTTTTTTTAAGTGGTGGGCCCTAAGCACAGTTCCCAGGGGGGAACCTGCTCGATACCATGTGGAAAATAGAGCGAGAATGAATGAACTATGAGTGAAGTGAGTACAAATAGCAAAACCCTAATTGGGTTGTACCCCCTATGGTATACCCCACTGTAGCCTACACAACAGCATAAGCTACATATATGTTCTGACACTTCCCCTTGCGCACCAAGGGTGAGGTCTCTGCCCTCCTGATTCCTTGGATCCGAGCAGTTCGTCTCCAGCTTTGCGAGCGATTCCGCCAGGACTTCCCTGTCCTGCGTTTGCACTCTAACAGAGGTGGTGAGTTCTCCGACCTTTTGCGGGACTTCTGACAGAGGGAGGGCATCCTCCAGTCGTTCACGCTTCCGAGCTCACCGCAGCAAAATGGGGTTGCTGAGCGCCGCATTGGCTTGGTCATGGAGGTTGCTCACACCTCCTTGATCCATGCGGCGGCTCCCCATTTTCTGTGGCCATTTGCAGTCCGGTACGCCGCGCAGTTGCTCAAATTCTGGCCCCGTGTATCCTTGCCGGAGACCTCGCCCACACTGTGTTGGATGGGAGAGGTTGGCGATGCGTTAGTGTTCCGGGTCTGGGGTGCTCATGCCCTTGTCCGCGATACGTCCGCGGACAAGATCTCCTCCTGCACCATTCCATGTGTCTTCCTCGGCATCCCCCTGACACGCCTGGCTGACTTTTATACCACCCCACCTCGCGCAGTGTTCTGTCCTCTCAGGACGTCACCTTTGAGCAAGGGGGAGATGCTCCTGGCCTGCTACACTGACGCTAGCTTCAACTCTGTGAAGACGGACGGCACCAGCATTGGAGGCTAGGTGTGCCTGTTTGGAGGTGGTGCAGTGAGCTGGCGCAGTAAGAAGCAGAATGAGGTGGGGCAGTCCTCGTGTGAGACAGAGTACATGGCCTTGCATCATGGGGCAAAGAAGGTGGTGTGGCCGAGGCGTTTGTTGGAGAAGATTGGAGTTGGTCAGAGGGAGCCGACAATCATGTTCTGTGACAATGAGTCGGCGGTGAACCTTGCCAAGAACGCCTGCCTTCATGGGCTGACAAAGCATATCAGGCCCAAGTGGCACTAGGTGAGGAGGCTCCTGGACAAGGAGGTGCGACTGGAGATAGTGAAGACCCATCAGCAGGCGGCTGACATTCTCACCAAGCGCCTGGCTGAATCTGAGCATTGGAAGGGCATGAAACTTGTTGGGATGAGTGTGCATTGAGAGTGCATGCTTGAGCTGTGGCATGTGGGATGATGGTAGGCAGCCAGAGGGGGAGTTAGTTGTGTGATGCTATCATTTGCATTCACGCCTGTCTGCCTCCCATCACATGTTCGTGCGTTGCATGCGTGGTGTGAGCATGTGCAAGAATTTGTGTTTTCTGTGGTTTGGATTTTCTGATTGTGTGTGAATGTTATTTGGCTTGAGCAGATATCTGAAGTGACTCCACTGCTCAAGAGCTTTCCGATGAACCAAGTATCGCTTCAATCGGAGCACGAACAAGTAAGTTACGAGCGTTGGAAGTTCGTATGCTTTTGATATTTGGTTGTGGTGACTATGGGAAGTTGTGGGGTTGAATCCATAAGGGGTACAGACTTTTGGGGGTTGGGAAATTCGTCCCCATTACTGTAGATGCTGCCAAGTGGTTGGGAGAAACGAAATTGGGTGGCAAGTGTGGCCAACTTGGGTGAGATGGATTGTGGAGGTTGGGAAAGTGACAAAAGTAAAAGTTGGGTTGCTATAGGGAGGGGATTTGATGTGCTTATGGGGTTTCCTTGGTTGGGGACTCCTTGGGACCTTCCGGCTCGTCCTCCTCATCCCTCTCACCTGGTTAATTGCTACTCTGACTTCTTTGTGTGGTACTTGTGAGACTCTTGTGATTGAGTTAAGTTCTTATGGCAGCATACCCCCTTGTGCGCCGAAATTGATAAGTCGAGTTTTTTTTCACCTCTTGATACGATTCAAACTGGGAATTGTAACCACCGACTAGGGCTACAACATATCGGAGTTTGGTAAAGTTTTGACAGTGCGTTTTCTGTCGACGGCGTTTCTTGTGAGCGCGACGATTCTGTCCAGAAATTGAGACCAACAATTTTGTGATATTTCGGCTCCTAATCTTCATAGACTCCGTCCTTAGTCTCTAACAGTGCTGCTGGAGCTGGAAGTCCTGCTCCTGGAGGTACTGCTGCTTGAGGTGCTGCGGTTGGAGCTGCTGGAGCTGCTCGTCATGGAGGCGCTGCGGGTGCTGGTGTTTCTGGGTCTGGAAGTGCTCGTACTAGAGGTACTGGAGTGGCCAGGACTGGTGGTACTGCTGGCGCTGGAGGAGTTGGTACTGCTGGCGCTGAGGGTCTTGGAGGTGCTCGTACCGGAGGTACTCAAGCTGCCAGAGTCCGTGGTGCTGGAGGCACCGGAGCTGGACATCCGCGCGTTGGAGTTCGAGACCTTGGAGCTGGAGGTGCTGGCCCTCGAGGTGCTGGCACAAGGGGTACTGAGTCTGCTGGTGCTGAGCCTAGGGGCGCTGAATCTGCTGAAGGTCCTCCTGGTTCTACGTCGCAGCAGTCACCTCTCTCACCGCAGCAGCTGCGCGAGTGGCTTGCTTCGCGCACCCCCCTTCGAAGTCGCGCTGCTGGAGCTGGAGGCACTACTGCTGGAGGTGCCGGAGCTGGAGGCACTAGAGCTGGAGGTGCTCGAGCTGAAGACCCTGGAGCTGGAGGTGCCGGTTCTGGGGGTGCTGCAGCTGGAGGCACTGGAGCTGGGGGCCCTGGGGTTGAAACTGTCGACCCTGGAATTGGAGACCCTGGAGCTGGAGCTGCCGGTTTTGGGGATGCTGCTGCTGGAGGCACTGAAGCTGGAGGCCCTGGAGCTGGTGCTGTCGACCCTGGAGTTGGAGACCCTGGGGCAGAGGGTGCTGTTGCTGGAGGCGCTGGAGCTGGAGGCCCTGGAGCTGGTACTGTCGACCCTAGAGTAGGAGACCTTAAAGCTGGAGGTTCCTGTTCTGGGGGTGCTGCTGCTAGAGGCCCTGGAGCTGGAGGTGACGGAGCTAGAGGTTCTGGAGATGCTGGAGGCGCTGGAGCTGCTGGTGCTTGTACTGGAGGAGCTGGTGCTGGTGGTACTGCACAGCCGCGACTGTTCTTTGCTCCGTCATCCCCGTCGACTCTGCCACCGCCTGACTCCGTGCTTCGCCCGGTTCCTAGCCTCCCGTCCTCTACAGGCCTCCTATTACAGCCAAGCTCTCCACTGCCAGCTCCTTCTCCTTACACTAAGCAGACAAACTCGCTTACAGAGCGTCGTGAGCCTGCGTCTCGTCCTGCCTCACCTGTTCGCGCTGGTCGCACTGGTTGTCGTATTCCTCGTTAGCGTCCTCCTTTTGTCCCTTGCACGCACACTATGGCACTTCGTCCTCCCTCTCTTCCATAGCATGTTCCCCTACCGTCTCCTCCTGCGTCCTCTCTTCCTGCCGGTCCGGACCCTGAGTCTGACTTAGTTCGTGCTGCCAGTCCTACTGTCACGCGTCTCCTAGCCATTGTTCTCACTAACCCTTTGTTCTGCTGCGTCTGCCTTTGTCGTTTAGCTTGTTGACTTTGCTGCTGCTTGTCGTCTTGACTACGCCGCTAGTCTTGTTGCTGAGTCTGCGTCTGCCTGTCCTCCGTCCGTCGGGGGTGAGTGTGCCCTTAGCACGGTCGTCCTTGAGGACAGGAAGGAGGACTTTGAGTGTTTTGCAGCTGCTGTACCTCATCTCGTGTCCATGCTGATTGCACCTGAGGGAGACCCGGATGCACCGGACCTCCCCCTCCCGCGCTCTTACGCAAAGGCGATTGAGGGTCCCTACTCCTCTCAATGGCAGCCAGCCATGGACGCAGAGATGGCATCCTGGAAGTCCACAAGCACTTACGTTGACGCAGTTCCCCCATCTGGGGCGAACATCGTCAGTGGCATGTGGATTTTCAGGGGGACGCCGACTTCTCCACCTGTCTTCAAGGCGTGTTACGTTGCACGAGGCTTCAATCAGTGACAGGGTGTTGACTTCTTCCATACCTTCTCCCCTACCCCAAAGATGACCACTCTTTGGGTTCTGCTGCACGTTGCCGCTGAGCGTGACTACCAGCTTCACTCTCTTGACTTCAGCACTTTCTTGCAGGGCAGCCTGCACGAGGAGATCTGGTTGCGCCGCCCACTTGGCTTCACTTGGTCGTTTCCTGCAGGTACCTAGTGGAGCCTCCGGCGGCCAGTCTACGGTCTCCGTCAGGCGCCTCGCGAGTGGCACGACACATTGAGGACGACGCTTGTGGCTCTTGGGTTTGCTCCTTTGACTGCTGACCCGTCGCTGTTTCTGCGCACCGACACTTCGCTGCCGCCGTTCTACATCCTCGTGTACGTCGACGACTTGGTTTTTGCCACTGCTGACACTAAGAGACTCGCCCACTTGAAGTCGGAGCTGCAGAAGAGACACACGTGCACAGACGTGGGAGAGCTGCGCAGTTATCTTGGCTTGCAGATCACACAGGACTGAGCACGACGCGCCATTACCCTGAATCAGTCACACATGGTGCAGCAGGTCCTTTTGCGCTTCTGCTTCACGTACTCCTTGCCACAGTCCCTTCCTCTGCCTACTTGTCACTCGCTCTTGGGTCTGTCTTTGGATGAGTCCGAGAGCCGGGTGGATCGAATCCAGAGCTTGTGGGCTGCCTCATGTACCTGATGACCTGCACTCGACCTGACCTTCCTTACCCTCTTAGCATCCTGGCACACTACGTTGCGTCCGGGAGACACCGACCAGAGCACTAAGAGGCCGTTAAGAGGGTGTTGTGCTACTTGTGCTGTACATGGGGCATGGGGCTCGTGCTTGGAGGACGGGCTCGAGTTGTCCTTAGTGGCCACGCAGACGCTTCTTGGGTCGACGACTTGGCTACAAAGCGGTCGTCAGAGGGTTACACCTTTAGTCTTGCTTCCGGCTCTGTTTTGTGGCGGTCTACCCGCTCGTCTTCTGTTCTCAGTTCCAATTGTGAGGTTGAGATCTAGGCAGGGGCGAGTTAAGCTGGCTCACCTACCTGCTGACCAACTTGGAAGAGCCGCCTCGTTCTCCTCCAATTCTGTACGTCAACAACAAGGCCATGATTGCCTTGTGTCAGGAGCACCAACTGGAGCACATGACGAAGCACATCGCTCTGCGTTACTTCCTTGCTCGAGAGTTGCAGCATCATGGAAAGCTTCGTCTTACTTACGTGGCCTCTCAGGCCAACACTGCTGATATCATCACCAAGGCACTTCAGCCTTGTGATCATCAGCGGTTCTATACTGTTCTAAGACTTGTGCTTGCTTGGCCTCACTTGCTCACCTCTTGAATTTGCTTGTACTGTGATCTATATTGTATACCTGCATGCCTACTTCTGATAGGTAGTGATTATTGTACTGTTGCTGTTGCATATATACCTCCGCATGTGAACTCCCTGTCGCTGACTAAAGCCTCGTGCAACGTAACAAGTTTTGAAGATAGGTGGAGAACCCGGCGGCCGCTTCACCCTGAAAATCCGCATGCCATCGACTATTTTTGCCCCTGGAGGGGGTACTGCGTCGACGTAAGTGCCTGTGGACTTCCAGGATGCCAGCTCTGCGTCCACTGAGAGGAGTAGGGACCCGTGATCGCCTCTGCGTAAGAGCGAGGGGTTGGGATGTCTGGTGCATCCGGGTCTCTCTCAGGTGCAATAAGCATGGACACGAGATGAGGTACAGCAGCTGCAAAACACTCAAAGTCCTCCTGCCTGTCCTCAAGGACGTCCGTGCCAAGAGCACACTCATCCCTGACGGTTAGAGGATAGTCAGTTTCAGACTCAGCAAGAAGACTAGTGGCATAGTCAAGACGACACGCAGCAGCAAAGTCAACAAGCTCAGTAACTAAGGCAGACGCAGCAGTGGACTCAAACAAAGGGTCAGTGACAACAGTGGCTAGGAGACGTGTGAGAGTAGGGCTGGCAGCACGAACCAACTTAGACTGTGAGTCTGGAACGTCAGGAAGAGATGGCGCCGGAGGAGACGGCAGGGGAAATTGCAGTGGAATAGAGGAAGGACGAAGTGCCATAATGTGAGTGTTAGGGTCAGGAGGAGTACGCGGACGAGGAACACGACTACCAGTGCGACCAGTGCAAACAGTCGAGGCAGGACAAGACACAGGCTCACGACGCTCTGTAAGGGAGTCCGACTGCTCAGTGTAAGGAGAAGGAGTAGGCAGTGGGGATTCTCAGTGTAAATGTGGATGGGACTTGTCAAGCGGTGGACACAGCAAGGGAGGAGTAACGCTAGTAGAAGACGGGAGACTAAGAACCTGACGAAGTACCAAGGTAGGTGGCGGCAGAGACGATGGCGACGGCGGAACGAAAAAAATTCGCCTTTGCACAGTGCCTCAACACCATTACCTCTAGCTCTAGCACCCCGAGCGCTAGCAACTCCAGCTCCTGGGTCTCCAGCTCCAGCGCCTCCAGCTCCAGTGCCTCCAGCTCCAGCGCCTCCAGCTCTCGCGCCTTTAGCTCCAGCGCCTCCAGCTCTAGGGTCTCCAGCTCCAGTGCCTCCAGCTCCAGCGCCTCCAGCTCCAGCGCCTCCAGCTTCAGCGCCTCCAGCATCAGCGTCTGCAGCACCACCATCTCCGGCAGCTCCAGTACCTCCAGTACGAGCACCTCCACGACCAGCAGCTCCAGCATCTCCAGCTCTTCCAGCACCAGAATTACCTCTAGCACCTCCAGGACTAGCAGCTCTAGCACCTTCAGTTCGAGTGCTTGCACCGGCCGTGCCTCCAGCGGCAGGGCCCCCAGCTCCAGCAGCGCCACTCCGAAGGCAGGTGCGGTGAGCAAACCACTTGCGCAACTGCTGTGGTGAGAGAGGCTCCCGCTAGTAAGACTGCTGTGACGAGGCACCCATAGGACCTCCAGCAGACACAATACTCCTAGGCTCAGCACCCCCAGACTTAGTACCCTCCGGCTCACCACCCCCAGGCTCCGCACCCTCACGCACAGCACCCCCAGTCTCCGCACCTTCAGACTCAGCACCCCCAGGCTCCGCACCCTCTGGCTCAACAACCCCACGCTCCTCACTCGCAAGCTCAGCAACCCCATGCTCTGCACTCGCTGGCTCAGAACCCCCAGACGCAGCACCCCTAACAACACCACCCCCAGCAGCACTAGAGTCTACAGTGATCTTGACAAGCTCAGCCAAGGGGAGTGGGTCTACCTGAGACACACCTGAGGGAGCAGGACCTTGAGGGGGGAGGGGGTCTACCAGAGGGTGACCTGGAGCGAGGAAGAGGGGCAGTGCGGTAGGGGAAGAGACGGTAAAAGGGAACCGGCTCATCAAACGTGACATCCTGAGAGGGCAGGACACGGCGCGTGGTGGGGTGGTAAAACTGCCAGCCTGGCGCGTCAGAGGGAAAGTTAAGGAAGACACAGGGAATGGTATGGGAGGAGAGCTTGTCCGCAGAGGTATCGCGGACAAAGGCACGAGAGCCCCAGACCCGGAACACCGACGCATCGCCGACCTTCCCTGTCCAACGGAGTGTAGGCTGGGTCCCCGGCAAGGAGACACGGGGCCAGAGGTTGAGCTGATGTGCAGCATAAACGGACCGCAAGCGGCCACAAAAAATGCAGAGCAGCCGCATGGATCATGGAGGTACGAGCCACCTCCATGACTAAGCCAATGCGGCGCTCAGCAATCCCATTTTGCTGCGGGGAGGCCTGAAGCATGAATGACTAGAGGATGCCCTCCCCACAACAGAAGTCCCGCAAGAGGTCGGAGGAGAACTCACCACCTCTGCCAGAGTGCAAACGCAGGACAGGAAGGTCCTGGCGGAACCGCTCGTGGAGCTGGAGACAGACAGCGCGGATCTAAGGGATCAAAACATCAGGGACCTCCCCCTTCCCGTGCAAGGGGAAGACCGTAGCGTAAAACGTGTAATCGTCAATAACCAGCAAAAAGTATCGCTCGCCGCCCTGTCCATTAACAAGGGCTGGGCCCTACACGTCCATGTGGAGAGTCTGCAAGGGATCAGTCGTTGGGGGAAACGAGGAGGAGTGAGGAGCGGCGCACTCCCGCCCCTCGACGCAAGGAAGGCAGGGAGGGGCAGGCGAGGGCGGGAGGGGAGGCAGAGACCTGGGAAGACCAGAGACTAGGAGGCGGGAGTGCATGCCACGGAGGCGTGTCAGGGTGGGGGTGACCAAGGCGATGGTGCCAAAGGAGAGTCTGGTGCGACAGGAGGCGACACAAGCAGCGGGCTGCTACCTGACCTGACGCGGACACCTCACCAATCGCAGCTACCTGAGGAGGCTCAGTAGTCAGTGTGTACATACTCGACCCAGGCTGACGGGTGAACGTGGCCAGGTGATGGCCCGACCGTGTACACATGCAGATCGACACACGCTGACCCCCAGGAGTGGTGGTAGTGACCATCGCATCCTGGAGGGCTGCAGTACTCACCAAGTTTGTAGAGAACGAGGGGAGGTGAAGACCCGACAGTTAGCCTGACAGAACTGCTGGACACGGGAGAACAGCGGAGGAACGTGCAAGAACCGGTCCCCCTAAGGGGTCAGCCAGAGTGACTGCAACCGCTGTAGGGAGTGGTGTGACTGTGGTACTGTCGCGAAAGAAATAGCGAGAAGCACCTGAGTCAAGAGTGAAGGTGTGCAAGGCCTCAGCAGGCGCGGTACCAGAGAGAGCAGACCCACTAGCACCTAGAGGAGCAGCCTCTATACCTGGGTCGGGCGGCACACACAAGTAACAGTCACCCTCAGCACTAGCAGTCAAAGTATACATGCCTGCAAGGATAGCGTTATAGTTAAGAGCAAATACATCCACATCATTTATAAGCAGCTCTAGCCAGCAGGGGAGCTCAGCCTCATCGCCAAACTCTGTGTGCCAGGCGTCGTCAAGGCGGGAGAAGCAGAGGTGCTGTGTGTGACCAACCTTCTCGCATATCTGACGAGCACGGTCACCTGTGCGAATGACGTACGCGCAGCGAACACTACTCCTAGACGCCCCACACTGAGCAAACCACTGACGAAGCTACTAGGGCATAAGGGTCTCGCGCGGACGCTACTGGTGCTGCCTCTGGCCAGCGCCAGAACCTCCCCTCTGACCGGTTCCAACCCGACCCCCACCACTCTTGCCTCTCTTGCCCTTGCCGCTGCGGCGCCTCCCACAAGGAGCAGACGCAGTCCCGACCTCCTCAGCACGAAGGAAGTCAACAGCAGCAGAAGAAGCGATAGAGGGGACAAGGAGGGAGGGGCAACACCCCTCAAAGAAGGGAGTGCGAGGAAAGCCACGAGAAGCACCTATAGCGACTATGCTGGTTTCAGCTGCAAGGAGGTCCTTGACTGCGCAAAGAGAGTCAGGGAAACGGGTGACAATGAAATAGAGAGTGATGTATATGGGTGGGGGGTTCTTGTCTAGAAAATTGGTTGGAAGGGCGGCGCGATAGCGAGTGTCGCTAGTGCGAAGGTGGGTGATGAGGTCATCGACTGTGGCAAAGGTTGAGTGCTCGGGAAAAAGGTAGGGCAGTATAAGACGGCCGAGAGCAGCAGTGGTAGGGGAGGAGAAACAAGTGACTACAGCGTCGAACAGTGCTTTGGCAGTCTTGTGCTGGCCAAAATGCACGCGTTCGGCTAACGGCAGGTGGTTGCGAACGGCTGGCGAGCAGTAGCGTCACGGGTAAGACACTGTGAGCGAGTCGCACTGTCAGCTGTCTTGGGAGGAGCGAGAGAGGCCCCAGACATGTGGTCAAACAAGGAGACATCGTCCCTAGACTCGCTCTGTAGGTACAGCTGTAAGTTGCCTAGCCAGGTCTCAAACTGGATCGGACAACCCTCAGGATCAAAGGTGAGAACACAGGGAGAAGCCATAGCAGGCAGAGTAGGTTGGCGCGCGAATAGTAGGGTGACGCGCGGGCACTAGGGAAGCGCACAGGGCAGGGCGGGTTGGCGCACGGCCAAGGAAGGGCGGCGCGTGGCCAAGTCAGGTTGGCGCGTGGACAGGGCAGGGCGGCATGGCGTCCAGCAGAGCGACGCGCGGGCAGGGCAGGCAGAGCGGCGCAGCGGCTAGCAGGGCGGCGTGCAGGCAGGGCAGGGCGGCGCAGCGGCCATCAGGGCGGCGCTCGTGCAGGGCAGGACGGCGTGGCGGCCAGCAAGATGGCGTGGCGGCCAGCAGGGCGGCGCGCGAGCAGGACAGGGCGGCGCGACGGCCAGCAAGGCGGCACGCGGGAAGGGCAGGGCGGCGCGACAACCACCAGGGCAGCGCGCGGGCAGGGCAGGGCAGCGCGCGGCCAGGAGGGCGGCGCACGGGCAAGGCAGGGCGGCGCGGCGGCCAGCAAGGCGGCGCGCGGGCAGGGCAGGGCAGCGCGCGACCAGGAGGGCGGCGCGACGGGCAGGGCAGGGCGGCATGGCAGCCAGCAGGGCGGCGCGACGGGCAGGGCAGGGCAGCGCGTCTAGTGGGGCAGCGCGACGGGCAGGGTAGGGCACTACGAACAGGGTAACGTGCTACGGGCATGGAACTTTTCGGTGGGCCCTAAAAAAAACGGTCCTGGAACAGGACCTGCTATGAAACCATGCCAGGATACTGAACGAGAATGAACGCATTGAGAAGAAACTCAGTACAAGTACTAACCCTAATTGGGCTGTACCCTTTATGGGCTACCCCTCTACAGCCTACACAATATAAACATTATAATAGTTTGATAGTGCGGAATCACAGAGGGTTGGTACGATGAAGAACGGTCTATTTTACCACACTGGGAACCTCGGGGATCTGCCTAAGCATGGTGTGTTATGCTTGGCAAGCAATCGAAAGCTACAATAAGCCAGCTCCGTCATTCATCAACAAAGAACGTGTACATAGGGAGCGGGGTCTTGCTGATGAGGCTCTGTGCTTCAGCAGTTGAGCCTGGCACGTCTGAAACTTGAGAGGAATCAGTGGCTGGCTTTGGTGACAGACTCGCAACAGAGTCAAGAATACTTTTTCGAGGCGGTTCAAAACAACAGGACTCTGGCACGTTTGAAACTTGAGAAGAATCTTCAAAGACTGGTGATATGGCTCTAGGTGATATGGATGCTGGGGAGTGAGGAAGATGCTCCCTCTCCAAGGACTTTGTCTTTGATGCAGTAGGTGCTGCATCAGCTGCAACATCCGCTGCCACATCAGCTGCTACGTTAGCTGTTACATCAGTTGCCAGGTCGACTATTACCCAGTCGCCACGTCAGGCGCATCAGCAACCGCGTTAGCTGCCACGTCATACTGGTCTCGAGTCCTGTTGTTGTCATCCCACAGGGCCCTGGCAATGGCCTCTGCCACGTCACATGCCAGGTCATACTCGTACTTATCGTTGTTCAGGCAGCCATTCTCATTGATGTAGAGAGCAAGAGAGAGGAAGAACTCCCTTCTTGTTTCTATGTCAAGGATATAGCTGAAAAGGAGCAGAGTAGGGAGGGGGAAGATGTGGACGGGGGGGGTGGGAGAGCCAGGTGTGAGGTGGGAAGGAGGGGTGAAGGGGGGAAAGTGGGGAAACAGGGAGAGGGGGAAGTAAGTAAGGTGGGGTATGTGCTACTGTGTCACTGATACACTCACCCCCTCAGTGCGGTTAATTGTTTACAAGAGAGATTAAATTAGTGCCTCCTGTCAGTCACCATGCAACGACACATTTGGCAGAAAAGGGACAAGGAGAGTGTATGGAGGGAAGAGGGAGAATATGCAATCAAGAAATTATGGTCTGATCGTCCCGTTCAAAAGGAGGTTTATTCTTGAGACACCCCTGTTCAAGGAGGCTACAAAACTGACACATCCTGCTCTAGCGGTTACTGAAAAGATAGAAGGAAATGAGCCCAAGAACGATTTATAGCTCTGTTTCAGTTGGAAGAATGGAGAAAGTGTTTAGAGACAATAGAGATGGACATTATTGGCTTTTGAGGATTGCAGAATTGCTTTGTGACGTCTCAAAACTAACTTGTAATCAGCTGAACATGATTGGTTCTTACCAAATGCCGTTAAGTGAAGAGAACTACACGACACGACACGGCACGACTCACGCGTTATCAACAGTGAAGTCAAACGCCCTCCCAGTCTTGTTGTAGATACGCAGAGCCTCCTTTGGCCGCACTCAGCACAATCCGGGAAGAAAAGACTGCATGAGCACAGACAGGGAAAAGGAAAAGATTGCAGGAGGAAAGGAAAACCTATACTTCACTGCGGGATTGCTCTTTTTTTGACAACATTGGTTGAAAAGACTTCCCTCTCTTCTCAGGCCAAAACCCCATCATGCCATATGAAACCACATTTTACCAATGAATACCCCACCAAATCCCATCACACCACACCTCATGACACAGCATCACACCTTGCGAAAATTATCCGTGTACTTCTTGTCAGCATATCTGGGATTGCGGGACTCCTGGGGGTATTGCCTCATGGCCTCTTGCACCAGCAGCGTGTGACCCTCAGCCATTCGGATCCGCTGGCAGCTAGGCAGCTGGGTGGGTGACGCGGGGGGAAAGGTGGTGGGGAGGTTGTCAGGAGAGGAGGCATCGAGATTGCCTCACGAAGTTCGAGCGGGAAAATCCTCCTCTCCCTCCCGGCCTCATGCACCAGCAGCCTGTGACCGCAGCCCATTTGGATCTGCTGGCAGCCAGGCAACAGGGTGGAAGATGGTGGGGAGGTTGAAAGGAGATGAGGCATCGAGATTGCAGACTTTTGAGTTGACTCAAAACGCAGCAGTTCCGGCGTGAAAATTATCCTCTCCCTCCCGTGGGTACTGCATCATTGCCTCGTGCACCAGCAGCCTGTGACCGTCACCCATTTGGATCCGCTGACAGGCAGGCAGGTGAGGGTAGTGGTAGTGAATACATGGAGAGGAGACATCATAGTAACCGTAAGAGTCTCCCGTAAAGATGATTTATTCCTCCCTCTTCCGTAGGGAGGAGAAGAGAGGAGGAAGAAGGAGAGGAGAGGAGAGGAGGAGAGGAGGAGAGGAGGAGAGGGGATGAGGAGAGGAGGAGAGGAGAGGAGGAGGGGAAGGAGGAGAGGAGGAGAGGAGATGAGAGGAGGTGAGAAGAAGAGGAGAGGAGGAGAGGAAAATGGGAGGAGAGGAGGAGAGGAGAGGAGAGGAGGTGAGGAGGAGAGGAGGAGAGGGAGATATGAAGCTCCATCAGACACTTATTTTTAAGTTTTAGTGGCCTTTTCCGTGGGTACTGCCTCGTGGCCTCCAGCGGCGGTGGCGGCAGAAACAGCAGCAGTAGCAGCAGCTTGTGACCCTCGTCCAATCTGATCGGCTGACGGCCATGACAGCTGGGTCCTTCCTAAACCCTGGCAAAGATTTTATGGTACACCTGTATCTCCGTGCGAATGAGTTTTGAGGCGCCTCATAAACCCTGACAAACACAGTATGGCATACCTGTACGTCTGGGTGCATGAGCAGCACAAGGAGGTTCTGCAGGTCAACAAGAGTCATGCGATTCTTGGAAGAGACCCACCTGTCATGGCATTCACCAACATGCCGTGCCATGCCATGCCATGTCATACAACCCTATGCCATGCCATTCCGTGAGATGCAATACCAATCCATCACCAACATCCTATGCCATGCCATGCCATGCACCAACATGCCATGCATGCCATGCAGCGCACTCATTGCATGACAATCATTATGTTGTCACATTTGTATGAATGTGAAGGGTAAGGGGAAGAGGAAGGGAGGTGTACATATTGTATAAATTGTACATAGCGAGTTAGCGAAGGCGAGGATGGGAGGCGAGGGGTCAGATGGAACTTCATGAGGCGAAGGGAGGGGTGGGTTGCTGAGCCGAAGGGTCGGAGGGTTGCGAGGGAGGGAGTGAGGCGGGGCTTACCTAAGCAAGGGGATGGCAGCAAGGATCGGCAGCAAAACGAGGCAGGGGTAGGAAGGAAGGCAACTACAGCGCCAGCTATGGATAGGTGTACGAGTGCATGCTTGTTTGCTTTCGTGTGTGTGCAGGATTGCTCCAAGAAGCCAGCTGGATCTGGATGATAGCAGCTGGAGGTACAGTAGCAAGGGGTGGGAGAGTAGGGTAAGAAGCAGCACGGCTGCAAGTCTGCTCGTAGTGGTTCATAGCCCCTATGGCTCTTGGATCCGGGAGCTCTTGGATTGGGCAGAGCAAAGAAGGCCGGGGGAGAGAGATCCCACAAAGCGATTCTTGGAGATGCTACGTGATCAGTTCCCGTTGCAGACATCGGAGCGGGTCGTCGAATTTCGAGACTTCAAATGGAGGACGGGAGAATCCCTCTTGGCATATTATGGGCGGTTGGTGGAGCTCGGGGAGGACATGAACTGTGTGGATCAAGGATGACTCGTCAGCAAGTTTCTCAATGGTCTGAACTATGAGCTGCAGCGGGACGTACAAGTGAAGATCTTCGAGATGGAGGCAACGGCAACGCTGAGAATTGAGTACGAGACGGCAAAAAGGGTGGAGACCGGCCGTCGGCTGTTTGAGGTGGAACGGACGAGTGAAAGGTCAGCGGAAAGGCGGAGTCCGGCATGGAGTGCGAGCCCTGTGGAGTTTGAACGGCCGCCAAGGGGACTTGCGGACACGAGGAAGTGTCATAACTGCGGCAGGGGCGGGCATCTGCGGCAAGACTGCCGCAACCCACCCGCATGCTCCATCTGCGGCACGGAGGATCATCTGAGGATGGACTGTCCGGAGGCGTCTACGTGCGGAAAATGCGGAAGGAAGGGTCACGGAGAGCGGGACTGCTACTCGCGCCGAGGGGAGCCAAACGATAAGGGGGAAGTTGAAGAGATGCGGGCGGAGATCGAAAGGTTGCGCGCCCAGTTGGAGGAACAAGAGAAGGGAAAGGAGAGAAGGCCGGCCATGGTGGCGAGGGAAGAAGAGGAGGAAGAAGGGAGCGAGGAAGAATTCTGCCTGATGGCCAGGCCTGCCAGGGAAAGAGACGAGTTGGGCCTGAGGCCGAGGGAGAGGTCTTGCGACCAAGGACCGAAGGACCACAGGAGCAGGGGCCCAGGCGGCAGGTAGGGGAGGCTAGAGAAGGGATACCGCCTCGGCGTCACCCGCTGGAGAGGCTGAGCTGTGAGGCGTCAGTGTTAGTGGCAGAGAAAGGGTATATCACGGTAGGGGGACTGCCGGTGAAGCAAGCCATCATCGACACGGGCGCACATCCAATGCTGATAGGGAAGTGGTTGGCGGAGCAGCTACACCTGGACAGGCCGGAGAGGCAAATAGCAGAGGGAGTGCTGTTAGTGACGGCGGAAGGCGGAGGGACAAAATGGATGCCAAAGACGCGGGCGACGGTCGAGATCATGATCAGGCGGGGAAGTCCAGAAGAATGTTCGGCGAAGCTGCAGTGCGGTATCTCACCATTAGAAGACTACGATTTGCTCTTGGGAGTCGAGTTCCTCTACAGCATCGGCTCGACTATGTGCATGTGGGAGGAGAAGCTGATGTACAGAGTGATGTACTAGGAGTATGATGGTCGCCTGGCGGAGCTACTCGTGCGTTTCATTCGTCGTGAGCCGCGAGGGGCCTACCAGGCTGAAGTGAAGATGGCAGAGCAGGAGCTGGGGTGAATGAACTAGGAAGAGGTGGAAGAGGAGAGGCAGTACCGTGACTGGCACCGACAACAGTGGGGGGAAAGCGGGAGCCTGTGGCAACTGCACATGGACAGCAGGGTGTTCCAGAAGCCGATCGTGCTCCTAGAGTTATTCGGCGGCATCAGCACGGGGTTGGCAGCAGTGCTAAAAGCTGGACTGCGTGTGGAGAAATACATCTACGTGGACAATGACGACGCGGCAAGCTCCATGTCTTAGCACCACATCAAGAAGCTGGAGGAACGCTATCCCTCATAGCTGTATGAGGGAGCGGTGGAGCGAGGTGCGGAGTGGGCCTGTCATCGCGTGGAGGATGTAAAGGAAGAGGCGCTGGCCCGCTGGGGGCACGTTAATTTGGTGATAGCAGGCTAGGAATGTCAAGGCATGTCGCGGGCCGGAGAAGGAAGAGGGATGAGTGATGAAAGGAGCAGGCTGTTTAGAGAGCTGATCAGGATCCTCAAGCTGATCAAATGAAAGCAGGGAGAAGTGGCGTACATCTTAGAGAACTTGGACACCAGGGATGATGAGAGGGAGGCGGTCAAGCTAGCGGAAGAAGAGATCAGAGGAAAGCTGGGGGCAGGAGTAGCATGGGATGCTGCGCAGAATGGAAGCCAAACCCATCGCACACACAGATACTGGCAGAACATACTACCGGAAGCGATCCTGCAGTACGAGCTGTCAATGATGGAGCGACCACGGCCAAGGCTGGTGGCTGACATACTAGAGCCCGCGTAGATTCCGGCGCCGGTACGTCACCCCGATCATGAGACTCAGTACCCCTGCAACAAGGCGGGGAGGCCACGGCAGGGGTGGCCGACGCTGGTAGTGTACGAAGGGGCAGAGGGCTTCAGGATGAGGGGCGAAGTGGAGGGTCCAGGGATGGTGTGTGACCAACTGAGAGGGGTGTGGGAAGAGCCGACTGCGCTGGAACGTGAGTTGGCTATGGGCTTCATGGCAGGAGCAACGGCAAGCACAGAGGTGACAGAGGGACAACGGAGGAGGGCGCTGGGAAGGGCGATGAGCCTCAACGCACTACACTGGCTGGTGGGCATGCTGGACAGACACTTGGGGCGGAACCGACTGGAGCGGCGAAGACATCACGTAGCCAGGGCGGAGCCAAGGACACGAGAAGATGAGATAAAAGAGGAAGAGGCAGAAATCCTGCTTGATCATTTGGAAAAGGAGGCATGGGAGATGAGGAGAAAGGGAGTGCCGCAGGAGAAGAGGGTAGAAAGGCTAAACGACCATCAGGGGGTTCAAGGGCGGTATCCAGATCAGGAGGAAGAGGAAGAGGAGTGGTAGGAAGGAGAACCGGAGATGGATTGGGACTCAAAGCAGGAGGAGGACCCTACGGAGAGGTGGATTCCGGATCTGAATGAAGTCTTTTTGGGGCCCAGTCGGGCATACATGGCAAGTCGGGCACAGGATGCAGTGGAAAGGTAGGGACCAGGAACAGAGGAAGAAGGGAGAGCAACAGATCAGCCTGAAGGACCGGACGCAGCCGGGGAAGCAGAGATGGGAGAAGGACCAAGGGAAGTGGAGGTCGTAGCGCAGCCACAAGGACAGGAGACTCGCTGGGACATAGGCTGAGCCATGCATGGGGAGACGGCGCCGAGATTGGAGGCAGTGCTACGACAGCATGCAGCCGCATTCGCACACACACTGCAGCAGTTGGGGAAATGCGTGACCAGCACCATGCACCTACCTTTGACGAGCGAGGTACCGGTGTATCAGAGGAGGAGGAGGATGAGCCCGCAAGACATCAGCATCTGCACGGAGAAATGCCAGGAGCTTC